CCGGGAGCTCAGCAAACACCATCGAATCTCTTAGCTCAGTTGTCCGCTCTTTCTACTCTTTGTAGAGGCAAAGTGGCCAAGAGCAGCCTTAAGTTAAGATCCTTGGGGGTCAGCAGCGCCATGGGGGGAGGGGAGCCTCCTCTCTTCCAGGGCGGGTATATTAGCCCCGGGAAGACGCTGATTGGAGCCGAGGAGGACGCATGACCCCTCTGGTCAATTGCAGGCCCGGGGCGCGCCGAGGTGCTGCAGGGGTCCCGCCCGCCCCGTGACCATCTGCCCACCGGACGGAAGCACGTGGCTGGTGTAGGAAACACCCTGCAGAGGAAACCCCCAAGCTTGTGTGCAAGCGGGGGTCTGCGCCGATGGTTTGTTGAGGGATGTGTGGCATCTGGGGAGGTGTAGCTCTGGGCGAGATGAGAATCGGGCGCTAAGAACTCCGCGTCCTCACAGCCTGGCCGGCGCTCCGAGCACCTGGGAGGCTCTACCGCGCTCTTCCTGAGGTCCAGGCTGTCCTGCTCGGCCGCAGGACACGTATCCAGTTGCGGGTGAATAATCCACTTATGCCCCCGTCTTCAGCTGGCTTCACACTTTGCTTCATCCCTGTAAAACTTTATTGAATAGAGCCTAATTGGAATTTAAGGTTCCTTTTATTTTTATTTTTTTCAGCTTTATCACGGTATAACTGACAAAATTGTAATATATTTAAGGTGTGCAACGTGATGATTTGATATACACATATATACACTGTGAAAGGATTCCCACAGCAGAGCTAATTAACACATCCGTCACCTCTCACCTCACATATTTATCTCTTTGTTTTTTGGTTTTTTTTTGGTGAGAACACAAATTCTACTCTGTTACTCTGTTGAAATTGCAAATTTCAATTACACGGTGCAGTATTACCCATTATAGTCACTATGTTATACATATATCCTCGGACCTATTCATCTTTTCACTTCATTTTATTTACCTTTTTTTTTTAAAAAAGATTTATTTTTATTCATTTATTTAGGCTACGCTGGGTCTTAGTTGCAGCACGTGGGATCTTCGTCACAGCGTGCATGTGGGATCTAGTTCCCCAACCAGGGATCAAACCCAGGCCCCCTGCCTTGGGAGCATGGAGTCTTACCAGCTGGACCACCAAGGAAGTCCCTTCATCTTTTTTTTTTTTTTTAATTTATTTATTTGGTTGCCCTGGGTCTTAGTTGCAGCAGGCGGGCTCCTTAGTTGTAGCATGCGAAGTCTTAGTTGTGGCATGCATGTGGGATTTAGTTCCCTGACCAGGGATCAGACCCAGGCCTCCTACATTGGGAGCATGGAGTCTTATCCACTGTACCACCAGGGAAGTCCCCCCTTCATCTTTTGAAAGAAAATTTTTTAAATTATAGTTGATTGGGCTTCCCTGGTGGCGCAGTGGTTGAGAGTCCGCCTGCCGATGCAGGGGACGCGGGTTCGTGCCCCGGTCCGGGAAGATCCCACATGCCGCGGAGCGGCTGGGCCCGTGAGCCATGGCTGCTGAGCCTGCGCGTCCGGAGGCTGGCCCCCCAAAGGGGAGGGGCCAAAAAAGTGAGGGGCCGCGGTACCCAAAAAAAAAAAAAAAAAAAATTATAGTTGATTTACAATGTTGTATTAGTTTCTGCTGTACAACAAAGTGAATCACTTATACATATACATATATCCACTCTTTTTAGATTCTTTTCCCATATAGGCCGTTTCAGAGTATTGAGTAGGGTTTCCTGTGCTATACAGTAAGTCCTTATTAGTTATCTATTTTATATATAGTAGTGTGTATATGTCAATCCCAATCTCCCAATTTATCCCTCCCCACTTCCCCCTTGGTAATCATGTTTGTTTCTTACATCTGTGATTCTGTTTCAGTTTTGTAAAAAGTTCATTTGTACCATTTTTTTTAGATTCCACATATAAGTGATATCATACGATATTTTTCTTTCTCAGACCTATTCATCTTATAACTGAAAGTTTGTACCCTTTTATCAGCCTCTCCCCACTTCCCCCTCCCCCTCCCCCTGGCAACCACCATTCTACTCTCTGAGAGTACTTTTATATATTTTAGATTCCACATATAAGTGATATTAAGGTCCCATTTAAAATACTTAATTAACATCTACCTCAGTACAAACCTGATACACTTTTACCAAACCATAACATTTTTTTGCATCCCTTGTTAAACACACATACACTCATTAAAATAATTGTTGGATAATCGAATACTGAATATCTACTAAGTACTAAGCCCTGTTCCAGGAGGTGAGGATACAGAGAGAACAAGACAGAAAAATTTACGTGCTCTTATGGGGCTTACGTTTTGGTGGGGAGAGATCAATGAATGAAATAAATATTTAAGATGTAGGGGGTGTCGGATAGTGGTAAATGACATTGAGAAAAACATAACAGGAAAGAAAGGGCTTTAGGAAGGGGATGTTTCCGTGTCAAGATGGTATTCGGGATGGCCTGAAGGAGGTGATGAGGGGAGGCCCACAGAGGGATCCACAGCAATGGGTTCCCAGACCCACACCCCATCAGCACCATTTCCAAAATGTCCCCACGGTGGGAAAGGCTGCCTTACACGGAGGTGGGCTCATCTCAACACCTGAACAGGACGTGAGAAAGGTAAATGACGTGAGTCAGCACAGACCTGCCGTCTGGCGTGGAGAGCAAAAGTAAGTCCATGGTGAGTGAGGGCAGGTTCTGCTGAATTTGATTTCTATCCTTTTTTTTTTAAAAAAAAATTATTTATTTATTTTATATATTTGGTTGCACCGGGTCTTAGTTGCAGCACGTGGCCTCCTTAGTTGCAGCATGCGGGCTCCTTAGTAATGGCACGTGAACTCTTGGTTGTGGAATGCATGTGGGATCTAGTTCCCTGACCAGGGATTGAACCCGGGCCCCCTGCACTGGGAGCGCTGAGTCTCACCCATTGCGCTACCAGGGAAGTCCCTCTATCCAGTTTTTATTACTGTTATTGTATTGGGATGCCTCCCATTATCTGACGGTGATTTTTTAAAAAAAATTTTTATTGGAGTAGAGTTGATTTACAATGTTGTGTTAGCTTCTGCTGTCCAGCAAAGTGAATCTGTTATGCATATACATCTATCCTCTCTTTTTTAGATTCTTTTCCCATATAGGCCATTTCACAGTACTGAGTAGAGCTCCCTGTGCTCTACAGTAGGTCCCTATTAGTTATCTATGTTATATGTAGTAGTGTGTGTGTGTGTCAGTCCCAATCTCCCAATCTATCCCTCCCCCCCACCTTTCCCCCCTGGTAACCATGACTGTTTCTGTTTTGTAAATAAGTTCATTTATACCCTTCTTTTAGATTCCGCATATAAGCGAGATCATATATTTGTCTCTCTCTGTCTGACTTACTTCACTCAGTATGACAATCTCTAGGTTTATGGTGACTTTTATGGTTAAAAAAGGAACAAACCAGCGTGGTTCGGTCTCGGTGATGGGAGAGGTCCATTTAAGTAGCAATCTGTCTAATTCTTGGTAAATTAAGACCTGGACTAAGAAAAATCTGCTCTGCTGTCCCTCCTCATGCATCTTTCTCTTTCCTCTGGAGGCAGGCAACAGGAGGGACAGAAAACTGGTGAAGTGCGGGGATAAAAGTTGTAAATTACTTTCCCCCTTAGGTGATCAGCCCAGGCAGCAGGATGAAGGTGGCAATTACCACAGTGGAATTCACCATTTTTTCAAGTGCAAAGAGATAGAGAAACGTGCACATGAATTTCTGGAGCCCTGCTGAAGCTGTGCAGCCTGGTTCAGCCTATCAGATCATCTGGGAGGTTGTGGGCTGCAGGCACAAATTAAAAGTAATCACTTCACGGTTTTGACATCACATTTTTTTCTCCCCCATGGGGACTGGAGGGCATTTTCTTATCCTCTTTAGGAAGTATTTGGACTCAGGGCTCTGTTCCCACTTAGCGTCAGGACAAAGGAGCTAGTAATATTAGCTAACATTTAGTGGGTGTTATTTTCTACTTTATAATAATAATAATCACAGCTAACATTTATTGAGTGACATTTTTTCTTTGCAAAAAATAGCTAGCATTTATGGAGTGCTATGTATTTTCCAAGCGCTGCTTTGAGAGCCTTGTATGTATCATCTCATTTCTTGTTACAACTCTATGGAGCGGAAACTATTACCTCCATTTCACAGATGAGGAATATGAAACAGAGAGGTTCAGTAACTTGCCTAAGAGCACACAGCCAGTAAGCACTGGAGATGGTACAGTGAGGTAAGTGTTATTTAAATCACATAGCACATTATAGCAGTGATTATAATCGTGCGTGCGTGTGTGTGTGTGTGTGTGTGTGTGGACATGTATGCAGTATAAAGTTTTGGTCTCTAGTAAAGTGGGCGGAGGCTGGCTAAGGGCCTGACACTTTGCTATCACCTTGGGCAGCGGTCCCCAACCTTTTTGGCGCCAGGGACTGGTTTCGTGGAAGACAGTTTTTCCACAGACCGGGGGAGGTGGGATGGGGGGCTAGGGGTGAGGTGGAGAGGGTGGGGGGAGTGTTCAGGCGATAATGCGAGCGATGGGGGGCGGCAGATGAAGCCTTGCTCGCCTGCCGCTCCCCTCCTGCTGTGCGGCCTGGCTCCTAACAGGCCATGGACCAGGACCCATCCACGGCCCGGGAGCTGGGGACCCGTGACCTTGAGAACACTACCCTAGATGCTGTGGTGGGCTGTGGGGATTGGTGTGATCGCTCAGGGCACCTTGTAAATAGTTTCATCCGTCTCTGAAAGGGTTAAAGAGAAAACGTGGCCGGCATCTCTCAGAGGGCAGAGGGTGCGGTGTATTTTCTTCTTCCATCCCTAAATCACCTTCCTTCTCTCTCTGGGCATGCGAGGCTCCGCTCTAAACAGAGTTTACGGTGTGTTGTACGTCTTGTACTTATGCATATTTACGCTGGCTCTGAGGCGCTGGCGGAAGGTAGCTGACGTATGTATGCACCCCGTGCCTGTCTGCTCTGCTTCTGAACCTCAGATCCTGAAGGCAATTCCCAGTGGTGCGTAACAGGCTGGTGTTAGGACCCAGGAAGGACACAGCAGCCGCGGGACATAAATAGAGAAGCAGAACAGAACAAAGTTTGAGGAGAGAGCCTTACATCCCTCACTCTCTCCACCCCAAGCGCTGGGGGACAGACAGACGGACGAGGTGTAAGCCTGAGTCACACCAGAAGGAGTCGGGCAGCAACGCACCAGCCCAGGAGCCCGAGGGAGCTCCAGACACAGTTCCTCCCACTTCCAGGAAAAAGAGAAACTTCCAGCTCCGAACCTGGGTGGATACCACTGAAGACTCTTGACAGAAACAGAAAACCGCGAGGGACCCACGATCACCCCCGAGCTTCGGCACTGCAGCCGCAGTCCTGGATTGCTTCTCGGGAGCTGGGATCGGAAGCTGCCTGTCTCCTCCCTGCGTCCCCGAGCCGGTCTCATCGTTCCCGTGTGTTTATTGATCACCGAAGACCCTTGTGTCCGGAGACGAAGACGAAACACCCATTAACTCTCACGACCCCTCGGCCTCTACTCTCTGCAGTTCACAAACGCTAGGGAAACAGAAGGTTTTCTTCTTTCCGGAACCTGGGAAAATGTCCCTTTCCCAAGGGAGCGAAAGTTAGAGGCGCCACTTTGTCCCAGACCCTCAGGAGCTCTGCTTGGATCGCGTTTTCGCCTCCGCAAAAACCATGAGGAAGCTGCTGCCTCTTTGCTGCTGGCACTCCTGCCTGCTGTTATCTTACTGTGGTTTTCAGGTAACGTCCCCAGGTGCTGCTCGCTGAGATGGGACTCGCCGGGAGGTGCCCCGCGTGTCTTACAATGTGGTGTTTTGTATGCAGGTGCACGGAGCCGACACCAGGTCACAAGCCCATCCAGGTAAGTGAGGCAGCTTCCCTCCCGGTCTGCTCACTACCTGCTCTCCCTGCCCGGCCCGGGGTCTGGACGCAGTTCGCTTGTTTGTCTCTGAGGCTGTGGGCGAGAGGCCCTTCTTGGGCTCCTCTGGCCCCACCAGCTGTCCCGGCACCTTGTCCCGTGGGTCACTCATCATCCTGCACCTCCATCTTGGGGAAGCAGGTCTCTCCGCGCCCGGATGCTTCTGGTTCTGGGGCATTCAGGACATGGGGGTGTTCACCGGTGAAGCATCTTCTGTCTCTTACTTACATCATGTGTCTCCAGCACAGATTCACTGGAGCTGACTTAGAGCATCGCCCCCCTTCCCCGCACCACCCCGTCCTGTCCCCATCCCTCCGATGGGAGCTTGATTCCTCCATTTCCTCTGAGGAAACCCCTCGCCCAACCGGCTGGGTCCGCTTTTCCTTTGCCCCCCTGAGTCCTCAGTCTGGAAGCACCACCCTGAGGCTTTCCTTGGGGAGGATAGAGGAGACATGAAAACTTCCCTTGCCCCTTCCCAGAGGCGGAGGCCTGCGTGACGGTGACGGGAATTTGCTTTGCCGGCCCTTGTTCCCGTTTGCTGCTCGGCTGGCATGCGCGTGGTAGAGGGGACCCTACACTAACGTCCCCAAGTCCTCGCTTGGGAGCCCGGAGGACAACCCCGGCCTGTGGGTGAGCATGCCTCTGGCCACGATTATCGTCACGGGCAGCCCTGCCAACTCCATGACCCACCAGAGATGGCGGGTGTAGCATCCCTGGCCCCATCCAGGTGGGAAGCCAGTTCCCAGGAGAAGGCTCCGGTCTCGTGGGAGCACCAGAGCCGTGCGGGGTGAAGGTAGACAATGGGTGGGACTCTGTCCCCTTTGGAGTGACGCGGCCGTTGCGGTGGGTGCTGGAGCACCCCGCCATCACTGCCACCTCCGCCTGCCGTCTCAGTGGTACAGGGGCTGCCGTGTCTCTTTCATCCTCATGTTTAAGTTCAATCTTTTGTTGAAAAGGGTGTGAGGGCGGTGAATTTCCACAGGCTCCCCTTTCCTTAGCCAAAACGCTGAAAGAAGGACTTGGGGATAAATAGGTCATCTAGCATCGCATCAAACGGAGGCTGTTCGTGCCCTGTCGCTGACTCACAGCCGACAGCTCACACTGGTTTCCCAGGAGAGATGTGTGTGTGGCCAGGAAGGCGACAAGGCAGCCCTAGGACCCCGGCCGCAGTCAGGGTGGGAAGGGAAGCTGTAGGGTGTTTGCCATGTTGTCCCTTGGCCACATTGCGGCCCCCCGGTTCCACCCACGTCCACTGGCATCCTTGACCCTTAGCTTCAAGGAGTGGCTTGAACTCAGTCTTGGTTCCATAGAGAAACTGCTGCTCTTACATCCTACTTTAGGGTAGAAAAAACATTTCTTGGTCAACTAACTACCTCAGAGAAATAATAATAAAACTGACGATCATAGAAATGTTACTACAAAGGAGCAATGTGCACCGAGGCCTGGGTGGACAGCCGGAGTACAGGGAGTTTGGGGTCTTAAGCTGCCTTGTCAGCAGCGCTCTGTAGCTGCGAGAGATTCCTCCGCATTGAATCCTCCCGTCTCCAGCAATCTCTCTTTCTTCTTGTTCTCCCCACCCCACTTTTTAATTTTATTTTACTTAAAAACATTTTTATTGGAGTAGAGTTGCTTTACAATGGTGTGTTAGTTTCTGCGGTACAGCAAAGCGAATCAGCTCTACGTATACACATAGCCCCTCCTTTTTGGATTTCCTTCCCATGTAGCTCCCCTCAGAGCACTGAGTAGCTTCCCTGTGCTCTACAGCAGGTTCTCATTAGTTACCTATTTTATACATAGTATCAATAGTGTGTATATGTCAATCCCAATCTCCCAGTTCATCCCACCCCCTCCCCCCTTGGTCACCCCACATTTTTAAACCTTTATTTCCTTTTCTTCCTCCCGCCTTCCTTCCTTTTTAGAATAAAAATGAAGGCTGAGATTTATTGAACATCTAGGTGTTTTTCTCTATTTTTTTTATATCCTATGGACGAAACCCTATTGCTTCCTCTCCTCCCCCCCTTCCTTCCTTCCTTCTCCCTCTCTCTCCTTTTCTTTCCTGTCATCCTTTCTCCCTTATTTTCTTCCTCTCGCTCCTCCTCCAGTCCTTTTATTTTGTCTTCTCTTCCTCCTCAACCCCCTTCCTGCTGAAAAGTCTGACCCCTGTCATCCGTGCAGCATCAGCACCTGGGAGGCCTGATGCATTTCTGCTTCTGACCCCTGAAGCCTGCGGCATCCTGAGGGGAGCCCCAGTGGAGGAAACCTGATTCCCAGGACTTCCACCCAAGGGCATCCGCCTAGGCACACAGTGAACATGCAGAGACCCTGTTCCCAATGGGAAGAAATTTCTTTCCAACCAAAGAAATTTGGAAACACCCTGCATACCCATCAGTGTGGGAAAGGCTACGTAAATTGTAGCCTTGTATTCTAAGGAGCAGGAAGCGGTAAATAAAAACGCCAGCATGATGGCGTACTGGGTGCTTTTACGTAGCTCCCATGCAGTCCCCCCTGTGCTCTGAGGTGGCTTTGCCAGCCTCCAGGTGAGGAAGCGTTTCTGCCCAAGAGTAAGTGCTCTGCCCGAGGTCCCAGCGCTAATAAGACATTGTGGTAACTAAGGTCACAAATTTGGAGGGAGCTGGGGGTGGTCAGACTCATACAGAGGTTGTTGGAGGTGAGAACAGCGTGGTCAGCCCAGTGGGGGAGGTATGCCCGGGATGCTCGGTGAGCCGGGGTCCCCAGTAGAGGCTGGACCCCTAGTGTCCTGAAGGGCAACCACACCAAAGCTTCCTTTCTAAGGTTCTAGGAGGACTAGTAAGCGTTTTCTGTTTTCTCGGTATGGTACCCAGCCCTGTGCCTTACAAATACTAGGTGCTCGGTGAATACCTGTTGGCTGGATGGCGCACTGTCCGTTGAAGGTTTGCTGGTTGTCTGGTGAGCTGAGTCCCTGACGACAGACAGCCTGTGTGATTTTAACACCCAGCTGGGGGTTTGGCTTCGTTTTCTGCCTTGCCTCTCTATACTAGCCCGGGGAACTCGATATTTTCCTGGTCTTTATCTCTACCGCATAGATACGTATTTAGTTTCATCAGTAATTGAAAAAGAGCTTCGAATTGTTTCGAGCATTTGTGTGTTTTGTGACTGTGGACTGACATTTTGTGCCAAACTATAGCACGCTGTTGGAAGGACCACCAGGGGCTATTCTAGCCCACCTCCCCATTCGAGAGCTGACGGAGGTGAGGCCCAGAGAGGGGAAACTGGGGACTCCATCCCACACCTGGATCCTTTTCTCTGGCCCCAGGCTGCCCGATTTCTTGCTCTGGCCCTGACGACAATGCTAGGAAGCTGTGATGGTGGATAAATCTAAATCCATAAATGGCAAAGGCCAAGAAATTGCACATCACTTGAAAAAAGTTTATAAACCTGCCTTTTACAGATAACTTTTGTAATGAGGGGACTTAATAAACCATGTCATTATCCAGAAGTTTCCTGGCCCTGGGGTACACAGAGCGGCTGGTTCTGTTTCCAGGAGATGGGGGCAGCTCACCTCATTGGCCCCATTTAGATGGCAAGGAGGCTAACACAGGTGATTATAGTAATTATAATTCCCGTAGTTATGTAGTGGGTTTTTCCCCTGTGTGAATCAATTGTTTGTTCCCTTTATTTATTTTTATTTTTTAATTGAGATATAACTGGCATGTAAAATTAATAATGAGTTTCAGGTGTACAACATCATGATTTGGTATTTGTATATATCGTGCAACGGTCAGCACAGTAAGTCTAGATAACATCCGTCACCAACATCGTGTTGTATCGTCTATAAAGGACCCTCAGAGTCACTAGGTCATGGTAGGAACTTCATTCTTCATCGTCCTAGTGCAAACACAAAAGTGTTTATGATATAATTTTTAAAAATAATGTTTATACACTATTGAACAAATGGAAATTTGGCATTTAGAAATTCGGGGGCATCAGAATTACATAGTCTTTCTAGGTTTATTCTTTTATTTATTCATTATTGCAATTTCATCATTCATTCCACCTATATAGTTTTTTTAAGAATTAATTGCTAACATTAAAATTTGGGGGAGAGTTCAAATGCAAAAACCTAGATTTCTGACACACACATACACACGTGCATGCACACGCACACATACACACACACGCACATGCACACACACACATGAACACATACACACACACACCAGGCTGTGTTTTAGACACGGGGCTAAGGTGCAAATAGAACAAATTCCCTGCACTCAAGTCGCTAAGAGTCTGGTATAGGAGGCAGACAACAAACAAATATACTAACAAACAAAAACTTTCAAATTATAGTGTAAGCCCTACGGGAAGACAAAACAAAGCATTGGGAGAAAGAGTGGATGGTGGTGGTGATGAGGGGTGATCAGGGAAGGCCTCTTGGAGGGGGTGTCCTGAGGGCAGAGGCTTGAATGACAGAGTCGGTTATGCACAGAGAGAAAAGAGCAGGGGGGACAGCAGGTGAGTCCCACTGTGGAATGAGCTTGGTGTGTCATGGGCCAGGCAGGAGGGGTCCGAGATCTGCCCAAATTGGCAGGGACCAATTTTCCTCTGTGTGGTGTAGATTTCCGTTGAATAAAATCGGTGGACACGTATTGCCCTACACAGATTCAAGCGGTGAGGGCTTCCCTTTACTGACACACAGAGTAGGTGACAGGGAAGGGACGGAATGGGGAAATCTGGAATAAAAGCTGAAAAGGAAAAAGTAAAGGTTTTATTAGCTTTTCTTTTTGAATATTGATACCCCGCCCTCCCTCCCCCTCTCTCTCACCAAACTGGATCAACAAAACATTAAGTATGGATGAGAAATTCTTGCTGAAGCACTGATTTTGAAAAAAATTATTTTATTGAAGTAGAGTTGCTTTACAGTGTGTGTTAGTTTCTGCTGTACAGCAAAGTGATTCAGTTATACATATATAATCTTTTGCATATTCTTTGCTGTTACGGTTTATCACAGGATATTGCAGAGTTCGCTGTGCCGTACAATAGGACCTTGTTGTTTATCCATTCTATGTATAATAGTTTGCATCTGCTAATCCCAAACTCCACTCCATCCCTCCCCCACTCCCCCTCCCCCTTGGCAACTACAAGTCTGTTCTCTATGTCTGTGATTCTGTTTGTGTTTCATAGATAAGTTCATTTGTGTCATTTTTTTAGATTCCACATATAAGTAATATCGTACAATATTTGTCTTTCTCTGTCTGACTTACTTCACTTAGTAAGATAATCTCTAGGTCCATCCATGTTGCTGCAAATGACATTATTTCATTCTTTTTTAGGGCTGAGTAGTATTCCATTGTGTGTGTGTGTGTGTGTGTGTGTGTGTGTGTGTGTATCACATCTTCTTTATCCATTCATCTGTTGATGGACACCCAGGTTGCTTCCATGTCCTGGCCATTGTAAATAGTGCTGCAATGAACATTGGGGTGCATGTATCTTTTCAAATTACAGTTTTCTCCAGATATATGGCCAGGAGTGGGATCGCTGGATCATTTGGTAAATCTATTTTTAGATTTTTAAGGAAGCTCCATACTGATTTCCGTAGTGGCTGCACCAATTTACATTCCCACCAACAGTGTAGAAGGGTTCCCTTTTCTCCACACCCTCTCCAGCAAAAAAATGGCTTTTTGATGATGGCCATTCTGACCGGTACGAGGTGGTACCTCATTGTAGTTTTGATTGACATTTCTCTAATAATTAGCAAAGTTGAGCATCTTTAGTAGATATTTTTATGATTTTTGGGTTTTTTAAATCAAGAATAGGTTAAGTCCTTCATTTTTTCAAGGGTTCTTTTATATCCGTTAGCATGATTTTATTGTTATCTTCATGAGAATGTTGTACAGTTCTTATTCTTTTGTTCTTAAATGTCTTGGCTGCATTTATAAATGAGAACCTTTCTTCTGTTTGTTAGAATTATTATTTGAATACAGGAGAGCTATTGACATTTGCATATTTAATTTGTATCAGCCTCCTTACTAAATTCTTTTATTGTTTGTAACAGGTTTTCACTTACCAAATTCTTTTCTTATTTGTAATAGTTTTTCATTTTCACTATCAGGCATATATCATTTGAAAATAATGATTATATTATCTCCTCTTAAAAAATGTCTTTGGGCTTCCCTGGTGGCACAGTGGTTGAGAGTCCGCCTGCCGCTGCAGGGGACGCGGGTTCGTGCCCCGGTCCGGGAGGATCCCACGTGCTGCGGAGCGGCCGGGCCCGTGAGCCATGGCCGCTGAGCCTGCGCGTCCGGAGCCTGTGCTCCGCAACGGGAGAGGCCGCAGCAGTGAGAGGCCCGCGTACCGCAAAAAAAAAAACAAAACACGTCTTTTACAATGAACAACACAAAGATTACTTTATTAATTTTATCTTTTTGGTAATCTGGCAGACACTCAAGGCAGTTGATTATTATTTAGTCATCTGGGCCATTATTTCCACTTCTGGGAACTGTTCACAGAGAAATAATCCAAAAGAAGATTCAAGTTAGCAGAACAATTCAATGTGTGATGGTGTAGCCTCTCCAGGGACTATTACCCAAACTCGATTATGAGAGTTAGAGAGAAAAAAATAAATCAAATAATTTGTATGGTATTAAGTGAGAAGAGCAGAATAAAAAAGGACATATCTGCATACAATGCAAAGTACAAGGAACATAAAGGTAATTTTGAAAGGATTCATTTTTAGGATGGTGGAAGCAGAGAGATAATAAAAAGATCAGGACCAATGCAGGAGACGTGTATGGAGGACACCAGTCGGCTGGGTGACTCCTGAGGGGGCATTTTATTCCTTGTCATAACAGATAGGCTAAGAGTACAGTTATCTTATAGATTATCATCAGAATGAAACGAGGAAGTATTTGGTAAAGAACCTTACACAACGTCTGCACAGTATCGGCGTTGGTTTCCTCTTTTTCAACCTCATTTTTTTTTTTTTTTTTTTTGCGGTACACGGACCCCTCACCGCTGTGGCCTCTCCCGTTGCGGAGCACAGGCTCTGGACGCGCAGGCCCAGCGGCCACGGCTCACGGGCCCAGCCGCTCCACGGCACACGGGATCCTCCCGGACCGGGGCACGAACCCGTGTCCCCTGCATCGGCAGGCGGACTCTCAACCACTGCGCCACCAGGGAAGCCCTTCAACCTCATTTTTTTCTCTTGTCTGACTGTATCAGCTATGTCTTCTAAAACGCAGGAAGTAATAATGGGATAATGGACATTCTTGTCTTTTTTTCTGACACGTATGGGTGTGCTTCTTGTGTTGCACCATTAGGCATGGTGGCTTTTATTTTCTTTGGTTAAAAGGTATCTCTCTATTCCTATTTATTATGTTTTATTCTGTAAAAACACTCATTTAATTACTGAGTTTTTTGAACACTGGGAGTGTGTATTGAATCTATTCAAATGCCTTTTGAATACATCCCACAGTCACTCTGACACTTTTACCCTTTCCCCAATTCCTGATGGAGGTGGTAAGTGATTCCTTATGTCCAGCTCTTTCTTTCCTAATGGTGATGTAACATTTTTATTCTTTTCTCCCCCAAGGGTTTGACGTCTTGGCTTCTGCTTCCCATTACTGGCCGTTGGAAAGTGTGGATGGGATCCACGAACTTCAGGAGACAACTGGAGGTAGACGGGGTGGGGACAGTAACCAGGGCCCCAGGAATGCACTTTCCCTAGGGAATCAGGGGCCGTTGGGAGGGAGCAGGGAACAAAGAGCATCCACTCTGAAGTCAGCCTCGATGACGGAGATGAATAAACATTTGTGTAGCTTCCCCCTAATCATTGTTATGGCAAAGGATTTTACTAGAACTTTTATATGTTTTTATGGTTGAAGGACAGAATTTATGCTTCAAAACATTAAGATGTGCATTTCGTCCAACAACCTTTAAACAAATGCAGTTGTTTTCAGCTTTAAGCAGTACATGATGGGTCAGTCTCTGGACAAGTCCCGATATACGTTTTCTAGGTAGGCACAAATGGGGTAATCTACATGCCTGCCAGAGCGGGGGCCCATTGGAACCTAGGGCCAAACGTCGTGCCAACGAAGACTGACCCCCCTGTTTGCGGGGTCATGATTTCACTTAGCAAATGTACCCCCCCCCCCCACCTACCTGTCAACTCCTCTACACGTCACTGGAAGCCCTCCTGTGAAAAGATCCAACATCACCTAAGATGCTTCCAAGGGTCCCCAATTCCATGGAAGATAAAGTTTCTATCTGAAGCAATTCAGACCTTGTGAGAAGGAGAAACCCCAGACAGCCCTGAGCACTTTTTGCATTCCAATAAGAAGCTTTTTTGAAGTCTGAGTTTTGAGTGATTTGGGATGCTTTGACATTTTAATTTTTGTTTCCTTATTCCACTTGATCATGTCCAACGACTGATGTGTATAACGGGAGAGTTATGTACGGCCATCCTGGCACGCGCTCAGATTGTCTATACAGGTTCTTTGTAATGGATTAAACGCGCCCCCCCCCCCATTGTTGATTGATTACTATGCTTTCCACACCAGCACGCTGGTGTTTTCCTTATTCCTGGGACTTCATGTGCTGCCGTAAATTGCCACATCAGATTCTAAAACCTTTTTTTTTTTTAATTTGCAAATTGAGAAGCATTACAGCTGAAGTCTGCTGGCATCCTTAGAGGAGCTCAGTCAAGGAGCAGGTGGTCCTGTGTAGGGCCACCAGAGGCCCTGCCTTATTCTGCATTGCCTCTTGCTTGTCTGCATATCAGGCAGCAGTGGCGGCCACAGGAAAACCTGGGCTGGGCCACTGGGGCTCCATATTTTCTCGAAATAGTACCATAGGGATGGAAGGTCCCTCTGATCGTTATTTGATGACTACCTCAGGTTAAAAGAAATGGTTTCCCCTTGTTATAATCTAATTTTCTTTTCTCAGGGCCTTTACTTTAAAGCCTTTGAAATGAGATCATTCCAAGTGGAAATTGCATTGTCAAAAGAGCTCCTTGTTTAGGACCCAGGCGCTATTTTAGGAATTACTTCAAACAGAGCTCCAATAAAGATCCGTATGTCTCTCCTCACCCCCTCAACTCATTTCATCGCCATAGATTATCAGATAGAATTACACTGTGGTTGAAGTGTGTTCACCCCAAGTGTTATTTTCCCGTAAATCTCGAACTCTATCAGTGTTTGTCCCAAGACACTTGAATGATGCAGGTTTCACTGCACTGTTCGTTGGGTCCATTCTTTACGTTACCGCGCTTTACCGGCATGTTTCAATTTGATTCCAGGCTTCACATTTTACTCCTGGGGACAGTTGAATGGTGTTGGGAATCATTGCATGGAGGCACTGCTTTGTCATTTGTCGCTGAATTCTCTGTTGTTTTGTCCATTCGTCATAATAACATGCAGGTGTTTTCATGCCGTGTTGCTGTTTCATCAGTTCTTGTGACATCACAACCGTTAATCCTTTTGTTAAGGCTATTTTATGGCCGAGTTCAATTTCATATCTCTCAACTAAGTATCTGGATGGGAACGGGAGCCAGCAAACCGCAACCAAATACAGCGGCGATCACGCCCTAGGTTTGGGACTGAACGGGGCCGCTGGAGTTGCCCTAATGTCCCCTGAAAAAATAAGAGGGAGGTGGGGTCGGAAGAGAAAATCCAAGCTGTTTGCGGGATGAAAGGCACACTTGTCGATGCGTGTTGAGTTGAGAGATATGTTGGTTCCATTCGTTTTTTGTGTCACTCATTCATTGTGCTTTTTTCTTTTGTTGTTTTACCCAGCATTACGAACCCACAACCTCACTGTGCTTCCTCCCCATAATTCTACCTTTGTATATACCAATGACTCTGCCTACTCAAATTTCTCTGCAACCGTAGGTGAGCACACGTTTCTTCTGTGTTCTGTCGAGTTTGGATCTGCAATGAATTGAAAGGCCATTCCAAGTTGGTTCTATATGAATTCACTATATCTTGACTAGCAAACAAGCAAATAACCAGAAAAAGGGCCAAAGATCCAGGGTATTGAAGATAACAACTTCGAATTAGGTCTAAAGGAGTTACCACGGATTGCAGTATATTAGGGGGTGTCTATACGCTTTCAAGCGACCAGGGTCTTCCAGACCAGCTGCTTGTTTTCAGAACAATACAGACATAAGATGAGCAGTTTCTACAAATAGAACTTGTTTGGATTTTTAAATGGATTCTTTGGAGGAGGAAAAACATGCCCTTTGAATGGAAAATTAAAGTCGATTTTAAAACACCTCATCAAAAATTTGATCTCTTACCAACATTAAAATCGGCATTTCTTCTGTAGCTGGAATTTTTTTTTTTAATCACTAGAAGCTGTCTTCTAAGACACACCCACAAGAGTTATGGCTAAATGACTATCTTATTTAATAACCTCCAGAGCCCGTATGCTTCGGATTTTGCTTATGTAGCACAGAGCAGAATGGATAGTAGCAATTGGGCAGCTCTCTGGTCAGTGGGGAGAGTCAGCTCAGGTAATTTAGGTCTCACTCCTGATCTTTTTACAATATATAACCTGATTGCTCTTTCAACTATGGGGTGTTTCGCTTCCAAAATTAATTTTGCCAAGCAAACAGTCTGGTTTAGGGGTTTATACAGCCTCATTCAGTCATGAACTGTGAGTTGCCCATGTAACTTTGTAATATGTAGATCATCTCCAGCAATAAACGAGATAGATTAAAAAAAAATAAGTTTAGGGCTTCCCTGGTGGCGCAGTGGTTGAGAGTCCGCCTGCCGATGCAGGGGACACGGGTTCGTGCCCCGGTCCGGGAAGATCCCACATGCCGCGGAGCGGCTGGGCCCGTGAGCCATGGCCGCTGAGCCTGCGCGTCCGGAGCCTGTGCTCCACAACGGGAGAGGCCACAACGGTGAGAGGCCCGCGTACCGCAAAAAAAAAAAAAAAAGTTTAAACACGATAAGGAAAAACTTGAAGCCCTTTGAGTTGGTATCCACATGCCAATGGTTGTCAGAAAATCTGAGCTGGGGTAGCAGTCGGTCAAAGAGCCTCCAGTGCTCTGTACGTCTTCATCTGGCTCAACGGCTCCAAGGGCAGGAGGCATGTGCCACAGGGCAGAGGGTCATCTGGGTGACTTTGACCCCAGTCAACAATACGTGACTCATCACCCCTGGCTTCAATTCTGTAAACCACTGACATCGCACTGACACCATCAGAGAGGTTTGCTATGGGAATGGGACAAACAAAAAGATGGCGGAGCTGGCGTCTCTGCCAGGACCCCTGGCCCTGCGGTCTTGTCGTTGGCGGGCTCTTCTGGGACGACTCGAAGTGTAGCTCTGCATGTCCTTCCTAGAGTTTGAAAATGAATTCTCTGAAAATCATGGGCTCCCATGTCTAGGATTGGGGGCTCTCAATGAGAACTCAAAAGGAGAGCGAGTTCACATGCAGTTTTACGTTGAAACTTGAATCTCAGTGTTTCACTTGGAAAGTCTAGTGTGAAGGTGGCAGTGAGAACCCGTGAAGAGGTGGATGGAATGAAAGTTTAGGACAGTAGGAGAGTCTAATCACATGGCTTCTGGTAACTCAACTGTCGGCCAACGTAGCAATTATAATAGTGTTATATTACAGTACATAGTATACACTGGTATGATATTAATGTGATACAATATTAATAGGATAGAATACTTAATATTTAATATCGACACAAATGTATATTATTTGTGATTTAGTTCTTAATTATGAAACGTTAACTACTGTTAATATTATATAATAATATATAATGTTCAAAATATTTAATTATAAATATAAATTAACACAGTATACTTAGATGTAAGTTGTTTGTAAGCCTGACACATCTCTGGACATTGCATCTCATGCGATCATTAACCTACAGTGTTGCCATTCTTCTCACTTAGATATTGTAGAAGGAAAGGTCAACAAAGGCATTTACCTCAAGGAGGAAAAAGGAGTCACATTTCTCTATTACGGAAGGTACAAAACTTCTTGCATCAGTAATCCAGCACAGTGCGGCCCTGAGGGTGAGTGATGAGCTCCATTCCTTTTCTTTTTCTTCTTCTTTTTTTTTTTTTAAGTTCATCTCATTGCCAGGTACCATCTGTTGCTCTGGGCCATGGCAGATGTGAAGGCGAAGTTCGGTGGCAGGATGCATGCAAATGTCACATACGGCTTTGAGGGGAGGGGAGGGGAGGGATAGGGAAGCAGACACCTAGAATTCTAATGAGAAACGGGTCCTGGAGATGGAATTAAAACACCGTCTCATGTCTCATGAAGGTGTGAGAGCAAAATATTTAATCTTGTAAAGCAAAATCAAACACACAACAACAACCAAAAAACCCAAGAAGCAAACAAAAAAGAACCCTCCATAAAAAGCAGACACAGTGATGTCACACTGGAGTTTGGATGGGGCCATGGAGTTTGCGGGAAGTAAATTGATGGTGTGGCTCACAGAACGTTATTTCTGGCTCCAGGATGTTGGCGATGGACCTGGGCGGGGCGAGCCTTTTAAGGCTTGTCCCATGGGTTTGCTCCTTTTATATCCATCAAGATTGGAGGGAGCAGTGGAGAGAGATGTCCCGGCAAGAGGTTGCTGGTCTGTGGTTAAAATAATGCACATGGACGAAACACATAGATGCAAAAGAGAAGTTAGGAACCTATTCCTTCTTTTTTTTTTTTTTTTTTTCTTCTTCTATGAAAAGTAAACTGCTCTCCCGTGTCTGAGTGTCTGACAATGGACATCTGAGCCACATTTCAAAACTTTCTGGGAAATTGTTCTCTGCCATTCAAATCAGCTCCCAGTTTCCAAGTTCCATTATCCTAAGGAAATAAAACATTTTCTTTCTAGGAAAGAAGAAAGTTTAATGCAAGCCAATTTGAAAGCCCTAAGGCTTTTTGGACATCCATGGCCTCATCAAAACCGCCCTGTGATGAATTCATTGTTCTTGACTCTGGGCCATAATGGGTTACATTCCAGTAAAAGTAAACAAAAGCTTAACAAGGTGATAACATGTGGAAGGAAACGTTTTGGACTTCGCAGAACCCAGAGTTTTGAGAAAGGGTTTCGAGGTCCCAAACCACGCCAGGTTGACAAATCCACAGTTCAAGCTGTTCCTGAATTCAAACAGCCCTATAAACACAGCAGCCTTGTTTATTCCTCTAAATTTAAAACAGCCCCGCCTCAGCTACAAGGGCTAAGAGAAGCAAGAAGGCAAGCACGCCTGCCTCAGCCCTGCCCTGCCCTACCTCGGTCAGGAAGGCAGTGAGGGGGGGTGGGGTCTCTGCCTGGTCTCTCTCTGGGTCTGTAGGGAACGGCCTCTCCCGGAGGACAGGTGTCTCTCTACGGCCTCAGCTACCAACTGGAATTGACCCGTGTGGGATGGAAGGTCCCAGGAATTCCCGTGGCTGGGACGATCACAGATGACCAGCCTTTGAAGGCTGACTATGATGGGACAAGTGGGGCAGCCCAGCTATTGCAAATCAGAACTATTGGGAGGTTTTACCTGAACTCTGCGGTCATAAATTAAGAGGCCTCCGAGCTGACTCTGGCCTGTGGCTGCATTTCGTTTTGCAAAATCACGGAGTTAAAAACTTTTAATTAGTTGCCAATGTTGAAAAATAGGAAGATTTCACATAAAAATATGAATTTCCAATTTCTCTTGAGAAATCCAGCCCTCCCAGCCGCCGGCCCATTCTGATTGTGTGGGGCTGAATGGAACGGCCCCCTTTGTGATGGACATTGCCCTTTGTTTGGTTCATCACAGACGTCTGACCCTTTGATCATTGGGCTGGTTGGGCACAGAGCACGTTAACGGCATGGGCTCTGAGGCCAGGTGGCCTGGGTTCCAGTTCCTGTTCTAATGCTTTCTGCGGTGACCTTGGGTAACCATCTAACCTCCGAGTCCAAGTTCCTTATCTGTAAAACGGGTCAATCAAAGTACCTTGCTCATGGGGTTGCTCTGAAGACTGGTACGTAGTTGGTCCAGCATTGAGAGGCCCTTGGGGTCAGGTTTGGGTGGCTCCAAACTTCCCTCCTGTCACCAGGATCTTGGAACTCACCCGACCTGCTCGCTTGTATGTGACCCTATGACAGGGGCTGACATGGCTGGACTGATCATAACAATGACCCACAACTGCTAATCATTTACGTCGTGCCAGTCAGTGTTCTAATCCCATTACATGTATTAATTCATTTCATCCTTAAAAAAAAACGAGACAGACGAGAGCTCAGGTGGTAGAGAGAGCTGTGAACTTTGGCTCCACCTCCCACCCTGTTGACAACTTTTCCTGTGTCGTGTTAACTGGAGCCTTTTAAGGTGTTTTTCGGGTGGCCACTTTCTCTAGAGAATGGCAGATATCCAGGGAAGCCAGGGAGCCTCAAGTCAGCCTCGGCCCCCAGAGACCGTGCTGCTGGGGGGCTTAATGCGAATGCAGAGGGAGGTTGGGTATTCCTCCATCCACCTCCCTTGGTGTGGTCTTCAGACAGGGCCACCGAGCATGGGTGCCATCCTAAGGACCACTGCATGCATCTCCCCATTTTACTGAGCATATCCTTTGCTCTGGTGGGTTTCCCTGGGGCCTCAAATAGCTTGTATTTCTGGGTTTAAGGAGAACAGCGAAGGTCTGTCCAGCATTTTCCAAATCAAAGTCCACGTAGCATGTGAAGTAGGTGAGATGATTTCGGGTGCACTTGGAGCGATTAAACAATTAATGGTTATGTTTTTATTTTAAGATAGCTCGTCAGAAGCTTAAGATAGCTTTCATAGGTATTCTTTAGGATGAGACTTCAGTAAGTAGTAAGCTTTGAGCGGGTGGACTTAAAGAACAGTGTTTCATAATAATAATCTAGGTGCTGTTCAGATAAGATGAAAACGTGAGTGATTAAAATGTAGGCAACATTGGATCAGCCTTTTCAGATACATTGATCTAGCGTCCTCCACATGGTTTTTGGAGGTGACGGTGGGCACAAATGTATGTCCCATTATTCTTATAACGAAACTTATATATAGATAAGGTTGTTATAATAATAATGGGTTTTTTATATATATATATATATATATATATTGGCCTCACTGCACAGCTTGTGGGGTCTTAGTTCCCTGACCAGGGATCGAACCCGGGCCCCAGCAGCGAAAGTGCCGAGTCATAACCACTGGACCGCCACAGAATTCCCCCAACATTTCAATAAAGAGAGAAACGCTCCCCATGCCCGGTCTGGCAGGTCGACTGTTTCCATATTTGTGATTTCCCAATTCTCTTGTCGCCTCTGTTCATAGTTTTGGCTGATTTTCTTTTTTTTAAAGAATGTTTTAGGAGACAGGATTGAGGTTTAGAGCTTTTCAAAAAAGGATAAAACATCTGAGCAGTTTAGCTGTCCCTCTCCAAGTTCTCAGGTAGAACGTGGAATCGTTTTCCTCTGCCAGGCTACTCGCTCCAAGCTCTTGAGCCCACACCCTGCTCACCCAGGGCTTCTCTCCACCCACTCAGCCAGCTTCCCTTGTTTCTCTGAGCTGAACGTGAGGCCTGCCTTTTGGCAAATGGTGTCTCCTGGGCAAGTTTTCTCATGGATGCTGGGTGCAAATGCAGGAGGAAATTTTGAGAGAAAAAGGCTATTTGAACATTAACCGAAGGAAACACAGTCTATGTTCCGTAAATACCGAGGTGTATCACTGCCAGCTCCCACGACTAGCAAACACACAAGCGGGGAAACTCAACGTGGGAAGGGACTCTTCCTGAAATGTTCCAGCATCTTGTTTCATTCCCCTGTAGACCGTGAGAGCTCGGCTCGAGTGTTACTTTTGCAGGGATGCATCCCAGACCAGCCGCGCTCCTCCGTCTGTGTTCTCACATCTCCCTGAATGTTTTCCCTCCAGCCCGTGCACCGGTGGGGATGACCTGCTCATTGTCTGTCTTCCTTCTTTGGCCTTTAGCTCTGTGAAGGCAGGGACTCTGTCTCGGTCACAGCTGTATTTTCAGCGATGAGTGTCAGCGTCGTAGATGTTTGATTCTTGTCGCTTGAACAGATACGTCTAGTCTAACTGTCTTTTTGATGTTAAATTCCTTTGAATGCTTCCCCAGCAAATGTCTGATGGGCTGTCATTTGAATATCACCCTCGATGGGTCCTTCTCCATTCCTAAAGGGGCCTGTCCCATTTTTGCATTCCTTGGACCTTTAGAAACTTATTTCTGTTATTGGATTAAATTCCATCTTGAGTAATTATCTCTAATTTGAGTTCAACTCTAAATCACCTTGGCTCCCCGCAGGAAAGACATTCTCTCTGCTTTACTCATTAGCTCTACCTTTCCTCCCTCTGGAAATGCGCCCTTTGCTTTTCCTCTTGTGCATTAGAGCTTCCCCTGCTTATAAACACCAGGAAGCCTGCTACAGCTCCGCAGCAACAGCTGGGAAATCTCACCATCCACATTCCCTTCTTCTCAACTTCGATAGGACTTTTTTGCCCTTTGCATTAGGTTACTAAATTTAAAAAGCTGTCAACAAAATGCTAAAATATTTGCGGAATTGAGTTTCAGGACGGTAATTTCCAGAATGGTCTGCTGGATACAGGCTGGGCATGGATCCAACTTCTGTCTCCCTCCGATGACTGGGGGTTATGGGGCTGTTGGAAAGCCTGATGGAGCCTCAGAGAGAAGTATTCATTCAGTATGCCCATTTCGCAGAGGGGGAAACCGAGGCCCAGAGGGGGCACAAGACAGCCTAGAGCCACATGGCGATTTAGTGCAGAGTATCTCAAAGTGTTGTTTCCAGACCATCAGCAGAAGAGTCTATTGCAGAGATCGTTAAAAATGGAAGTTCTCAGGCTCCAGCCCAGAACCCACTGAATCAAAATCTCCATGGGTGAGGCCTGGGAATCTGTAGTCTTAGCCAGGACCTCCAGGTGATTCTCATGGACCGAATCACAGAACTGGCCAAGGCTGACTCCGTCCCACAGATGTGTTTTGTTTGCTGGCATTATGTCGATTCTCACATATTTTATATTTTAATCAGCTTTCTAAATTGTTCTCG